TTATAACATAAATTGTGTTACGCAAAACGCGTTAAAAATATTCGAAATTATTACTGGTATTATATAACATAAGACAAAATTTCGCTTTCTTACTTTAAATTATACTCACGATAGTATTTTAATGACATGATTGATTTCTCCAAAAAAATAAAAATATAAAAAAAATAGAAGAAAAAGAAAAGAACTAAATTTAGCCTTGAAACAAATTTATAAGAACAATTCTTTACTCGAGATAATAATTATATAGTTTTAATAGTTTTTTTAAATGTTGTTTTTAAAAATTCAATTAATGAAAATAAATGAGAATAAAATAATAATTATTCAATGAACAACGAACAACGAACGACAACGAACAACGACGACGACATTTTATTATTTTTTTTTAAATTTTGTTTTTAAAGATTCAATTAATGTAAATAAACGAGAATAAAATAATAATTATTCAACGAACTACGAACGACAACAAACAACGACGACATTTTATTATTTTCTTTTTAATTTTGTTTTTAAAGATTCAATTAATGTAAATAAACGAGAATAAAATAATAATTATTCAACGAACAACGAACGACAACGAACAACGACGACATTATTTTCTTTTCTTTTTTCTGTTATTTCATTCGTACTTCAAGTTTTCTTACCTTGAAAAATCAACTCTTTAAATGATTGTGACATGGATAAGAAGATGCGACAAACGTGTTCCACTCTCTCCCCAAGGCGATAATAAATACAATAATAAGCTAATACGAGAGTGTAAAAGCTATATGTGTGATATTTTACAATAATTCATCTTACGGTTATCTATTACGACATATTTTTACATGATTTAAGTAACCAACAAATCATCATCGTCATCATCGTCATATGTTGCTAGTGTTTTCCCTTTCTAAACATGTTTCTTTGTAAATCAATGAAAAATATTACCTTTTGCATACCTATATAAGTAATTTAATAAGTGCACAACACTTTTCCTAGCTTACTTGATTTGCGGTTAAGCAATAATGACACGTTAAGAATGTTGTACGATCGGCACCAATGAATTTCTCGGACGCGTCCTTTGAAAACGAAAGAAAGATAGAAATAAAGAAAGAAAGAAAATGAATAAAAATACTTAGACACACGCATACATACATACATATACACATAACGGAAATGAATATTCGATTAATATTAATGAAATCAACGATCAAATTTCTTTTGATTATATAGTGTTAATTATAATAAATAAACTTTCAATAATATATTTTAATATTAAATTATT